AAATTTTCTGTTTTTGCGATGGAACTTGATAATAGGCTGTACAGATCGAGGATTGAAGTGTGACCTGCTCTCGAAATGTAACTTTTCAACTGTCCCAACACAAAGTCGATGAACAGAAGGAATACATTTGACAAAAGACGATATTTTCGACATTACTTTCGAGCTCGAAAGAACATAACAGCAAAAGGTGTGTTACATAAAAAAAAACATGTGTATGTATTAAAGGTTTATTATACCTGTAATATTCATTAGTATCAGGTCTTTCTATATTTGAGCGATGTGTTAAACGTTTGGTAGTTCTGGGAACCAGCACTGAGATGTCCAGAGGTTTTAAAATACGACACACCTCATGATAAATTTCTTCATATTTAGATTCTGTGTACCTTTCCAGTGTTCTTATTACGCTTTCTACTGTATTATAGTAACAAAGGTCTCTAATGCAACAGCCTGAAGTTACCGTGAAAGTGAAACGGCAATTTCTAATACAGTGGTGGCACCGTCAAAGGTAAGACGAACTCGAATCATTGAATAGAAACCGAAGTGTTGAGAAGTTCTGTCCATATCTTCAAGCAGCAATTCTATAAAGCGCTTTGCGGATGGATTACGTAATCGAAGGATTAGCACAATTATTGCAGCTCGCAATTTTGAGTCCATGAAGGTCGCCATACATATTGTCCGTGTGGTGACGGATTAAGAATACAGAGTGTCACCACCCCTATTTATCTCGTGGGTGTCGTAAAAGCCGACAAAGGGAAAAAACTACGCAGAACACCAGCACTGCAGAGAGAAGGAAAACTTGACACAAACCCTATACCAACCCGTCTGGCCAGCGTGGCATAGTAGGCCAAAACCTCCTTTCTAAGGAGAGGCTTATGTCCAGCAGTGGACTGTTAAAGGCTGATGATGATGATGATGATGATGAAGGTCGCCATACAGGCCGCCATAGACGAGGAGTTGGCTACACCTTCCACGTCGAATGGTATTTTGTCAATGAGTCGTAATAATAATTTTAATTACAGACAAGGTCGTGGGCGTTTTAATTTCAACCAGAACTCATCATCTGCCTACCCTTTTCCCAATTTTATTTGAGGTCGGCGCAGTATGTATGATTTTTCCATTCTACTCTGTCATGCGTCATCTCACTGTTTACTCCCTTCCTAGCCATATCCTCACTGACGCACTCCATCCACCTCTTCTTCGGTCTGCCTCTTCTCTTGTACCCTTCAACTCTCATACCTAAAACTTTCTTCGCCACATTTTCCTCATCCCTCTGCATGACATGTCCATACCAAGATAACCTATTACTTCTTAACTTTTCATCCAGTGGCGCTACTTTCAGACTCCCTCGTATATACTCATTCCTAACCTTGTCCATCTGAGTCACACCACACATCCATCTCAGCATTCGCATTTCGGCTACGTTCAGGCGTCTCACATCCGTTCTCTTAATGGGCCAACTTTCAGAGCCATACAGGACGGCAGGTCTGATAATAGTTTTATAAATTTGTCCCTTCAGTGTTAAGGGGAAACTGGGGTCACAAGTTGTTCCCGTTACCTGCCGCTTCTTCATCCATCCCGTATTGATTCGATGCTGTACAGTTCGATCAATCTTACCACCAGAACTATTGCGGTAGAAGTACGCCGAATCGAAGAGGTAACTCGAATTATTACTCGCATGGTGTTTATGGTCGTGAATGGAGTCAAGGACAACCTGAACACCGAGGTGGTTCGAGGTCGAGGTCTTCATTCAGAGGTAAATACTATCGTAATACTAATTTTGGCAATCAAAGGATGCATTCCCAACATTTGAATGGTTTGACTGAAAGTCAACTCCAATCCCAAACACTAGATAATGTGGTAAACGAGAACTACAGATTTTCTTTTTACTTGTGATCATAATTCACTTTCAATTAAATTTAACATTGGCAAAGAAAGTACCTACTCTAGATTGGTTACTCGATACGGGCGCATCAATTTCAGCCATAGAACATAAACATATTAATGCTCAAATATTCCTGTCCATATAGAGAAGACTGTAATTAGCTATTGGACACGGTTGTTTAGATTTACAAGCGAAAGGCAATACATTTAGTCCCAAGTTCTATGTATTTCATACCTTGTAAGGCAAGTGGTATTATCGGTAGTGACTTTTTAAATAACTACTATGCTTTATTGAATTACGAGACGAGTACGTTATTATTATTAAGATTATATGTAGCGTGGAAGATTTCGATATATGTACGTTTGAAAAATATAAGAGATCATTTTTCTTTTTTTTTTTTTTTTTTTTTTCTTTTCTTTTTCTAAAAAAAAAGACAACGCCCGCATTAGGAATATATATTCCTGTGTCGCGGGGGACTTTACAAACATACATGAAACGGACACAAAGAACACCCAGACTCAGAACAACAATTTGTGGATCACACAAAGTGTCGTCCCATGTGGGGTTTGAACCCACAACACTCGGCGTAGTAGGAAGCGGCGTGGCGACCGCTGAAACCACTACGCCATCCGTGCAGTCACCATCATTTGAATGACGAAGAAAGATTGCCGATTGAAAGTAAGGTCAAATTGGCCTCGAAGAAGCTCGGTGTCCTGAACAGATCGAGGCAGTATTTCACGCCGGCCCACCGGCCCACCGCTCTATAAGGCGCAAGTCCGGCCGCATATGGAATACTGTTCTCATCTTTATGCAGGGGCACCTCAGTACCAGCTTCGCCCTCTGGACCGCATCCAACGAAGAGCGACTCGAATCGTCGATAACCCAAATATCTCCGATCGGCTCGATCCCTTGGCGTTACGTGGAGATGTGGCTTCACTTTGATTTCTCTATCGCATATATCATGGAGAGTGCTCCGAGAAATTGTTCGGACTAATACCAGCCGCAAATTGCCGCCATTGTTCCACACGGCAAAATTTTCATCCCCATTAGGATAGTTGGCGCTCCACTACTTTGCACTTATCGAGACACTTGCCCCGCACAACCAATCTGTGGAACGGGTTATCTTCTGCGGTATTTCCGGACCGATACGACCTTCAAACCTTCAAGAAAAGAGCGTACTCCTTCCTAAAAGGCCGTCAAAACGTTCATGGGCGGCGATAGTCACTTTCCATCAGGTGACCCGTCTGCTCGTCTGCTCATCTAACATAAAAAAAATAAAAAAAACGATTAAGCGGTTTAGCCAACAGACAGACATGGTAACAGACAGACAGAGTTACTCTGTTATTCATAATATAAGTTGGGATTATTGTATTCAGAGTAGTTACGAGGTTTTGGAGCAAATATTTAACATTTATTTTATTAACTTAATTTTGTTTTACCTATTAAATGTACAAGTACCTTTTCTGTTTGTCCTTGTAACTGATTAATGTTGTTGGTATATAAGGTTATTGACCTAATACATGATCAAGACGTAGTGGGCGCAGTAGTTTACGATTGGTAAAATAATATTTATATTTCCTGTGACGACTCCCACATAAAAAAAAAAAACAGAAACATACTACAACGCCATCTAATAAAGACACACCGAACTACGGAGTAACTACTAAAATAAGAATTGCTAATCCTGTATCGCGATATAAAGAATTCCCTCGCCGATTAGCATATATACAACTTCCCAACATCAACCGCGGCCCGCTAGGCATGATCACCTCGCCTGGTCGGAGGATACTCCCTTTGTGTTGTTGTACATTTTTTTAAAGTCATGAACTATTTGCGAAAGAGCAATTGGGATTCGGGAAAAAATAAATCATTAAATATGGCACACGGCTCAGTCATACCTTTCAGCCCTGTAGTCAGGGACCTAGGTCTACTCATTGACTCAACTCTCGATTGGCGAGCTCACTCATGTGAGTCAAAAAGGAACTGGAAATTTACGAACACTATTTCGCCTCAAAAATTTTCTGCCTCCCAAAACCAAAACTACTCTCATGCAGTCCTTAATCATTCCTTTAATCGTCTATGGTGATGTATGTTATTTCGACCTGAATGCAGACCTCCTTAATAAGCTGGACCGCCTTCTTAATTGCATTTTGTACATTTACAACCTTCGCAAGTATGACCACGTGTCTGCCTTACGTTCCCAACTAAACTAGTTACCCATTCGCCTGCGCCGCAATCAGCGAGCTCTGACTTCTTTATATTCATTTCTTACCTCCCCATCCTCACCTACATACCTTGCACCCTACCTCCGGTTCTTGTCGTCTAATCGCGACAGGAATCTTCGCTCTGCAAATCATTTGCTTCTCTTATGCCCCTCTCACAATTCCGACTTCGTGAACTCTTCGTCTTTCGTTCAAACAGTTCTTCTCTGTAATGCGTTCCCGGTTGAAATCAGGATGTCCACAAACCGTTCGTCAGAATCATCGAATCGATGTGTATGTATATTTATATAAATGAGTATGTATATGTATGTATGTATGTATGTGTGTTGTGTTGTGTAGTGTATATCTTAGTGATTAGTGTTATAAACTATATGTGCCTACCACTTTCTTCTTCTTCTTCTCTTACCAAGAAATTATCATTTCGTAAAAACTCACTATTTTCTTAACGCGAACGGACTATACATCTAAACCATGAGTTTGTTTGCCCTTTCTTCTCATAAGGCTAAACCCCTTGGAAACGGGCGGTTGTAGATCGGCACAGACATATTATAGATTTTGTATGGGTTTGATTTTTGTTAAATTTATTTGCTTATTATTTGACAAAACAGAGATTGTTGCTATTGTGTGTGTTGATCTATGACTCTAGAGTCTACATAAAAGACGATTTCAAACAGTTTTGAAAATTTTGTGAAATAAAGAGAGTTTGAGTTTGAGTTTAAACGACTAGACTTCGAAGCCGAGCCCCGGCGAACTCTATAAATACGAGTATAACTCTATATGTAAAGCGATATGCCTGCATATCTTAGGTCTCGGTGAGGCGAGGCGGGGAACGGTAAACGGGGGAAATGATACAAAAGTTTGCAGGGACCGGACATTTATTTCGAGGAGGTCGGCGGCTACACGGCGGCCAGCAGCGTGTGCAGGCGGCGCGGGTCGAGCTGCTGCGCGGCGGCGCGCGCCACGGCGTGCGCGTGCGCCGGCCAGCGGTGCGCCAGCAGGGCCAGCAGCGCCGTCAGCGCGCACAGCGCCGCCGCCAGCGGCAGCAGCGCCGGCGCGCGCCGCCGCGGGAACTGCGACAGCGCGTGGTGCGCCGGCAGCAGCTCGCGGTCCGCGCACGCGCCGCACCCGCCCGCGCCCGCGCCGCGCTCCGCCGCCGCCCACGCCGCGCCCAGCAGCCGCAGCGCCGGCTCGCACGCGCGCCAGTGCCGCAGGTGGAAGAACGCGTACGCCACCGCCTCGCTGTCGCCGCGCCGCAGCACGTGTTCCGGCGGCAGCGTGAGCGGCCGCAGCTCCAGCAGGTACTCGGGCACGTGCGGGTTAAACTCGACGGCGCGCCGCATCGCCTCGATCGCGGCGAGCTCGGCGCCCGAGCGCGCGGGCGCCCCGGCGGCGGCGCGAGCGCGCAGCAGCGCGGCGGTGTAGCACACGGCGGCGGATCGCGGCAGCGCCGCGTCGTCGTAGCGAGCCAGCAGCGCCTGCGCGTCGGCGAAGGCGCGCTGCTCCAACAGCACCTCGAGTAGGTTCTCGTGCAGCGACAGCGCGTGCAGCGCGGGCGGCGCGTCTCTCGCCAGCTCGCGGAAGAGACGCGCCGCGTCGCGCAGGCGGCCCAAGCGGCGCGCGCACATGGCGGAGCGACGCTTGATGTGCGCCAGCACGGCGGCGTCGCGCCGCGCCTCGGCCGCCGCGCACGCGCCGGCCGCGGAGCTCTGACGCCAGGCCGACTCGGCCGCGCGCCACGCTCGCCGCAGCACGCGCTCCGCCTGGACGCCAGAGTCGACGTTATATACGTGCATACATACTCTTAAGTGAAGAGAGCGATTCGCGCAGGCATACTAAGCCCCCAAAAAAATTCACCCGACACGATGAACCTCCGTATTTTCGTCACCAATTCTAAAGTCCCGGACGGCTTCGATTTAGCTCAAGAGTGTACGTCACCTCCTGCACGGTGGGCGCGTCCTCCTCGGCGAGCAGCAGCAGCGCGGCGGCGCAGTCGGGTCGGAGCGCGAGCGCGGCGCGCGCGGCGGCGACCCTGGCGCCGGGCTCGCGCTCGCGCCACGCGCGGCACATCGCCTCTTCCGCAGGACCCTGTCGAAAACACGATAATCCGCGAGTGGACAGTAGGCATGTTTAAAAAAATGACTATTTAACAGATCTATTAATAGAAAGCCTAATTACTACTTTTGAAGAAGCAGTAATTAGGCTTAAAAAATAAAAAAAACCCTTGAGAAAAATAGGATTTTATTATCCGTGAGTCACGTGATTACACACACCGATCGTGTGTCGAGACCGTGCACACTGACACCTAATTAACCAATCAGCTGTCTTGCTTGACTTGCATTAGTAACTATCTGGTACCCGCAACTTCGTTCGAAATTTAAAGCGCTGCCTTAGAGGTGTAGTACGGTATGCGACTGCAGTCCATGATGCCTCAGGTTCGATTCGAAATTTATATAAGGTTTTTCTGAGAGGAAAAATAGCCTATGTTACTCCTTATATAGACAGCTACCTGGTAGTAAAATATTATCAAAATCGTTCTAGCCGTTTTGAAGATTACCCGGAACAAACAGACAGACAAAAAATATTTAAACTGGTTTTTAGGCATAGGTATTGTGCAAAGCATAGAGGTGTGAGCATAGAAAATACTATTATTTTGACATTACAAACAGAGACCTCAATTTTATTTATTTGTATAGATTTCTGGTGTAGACTGAATGATGGTGAATGCAGAAATGTTAAAATGTCTATGTGAGTACAGTAAATTTTCATACAATGTAATATAAAGTACCTACTTTCCCGGTAAAATATGTGTCCCAGTAAAACCACGTGACCACAATGCCCAGTTTTTGCGGCTCATTAAATAATGACTTATATGACTTTATTTTTTTAAAGTACAACACTTATAAATTCAAAAAGGCATTATCTACCTGGCTTAAACATTACAGCTATAATGAAATCAATTATTCCTTTTTTTTTTAAGTTAAGCAGACTTCAAACCATACTAACAAAGGGAAACTAAAAATTGCAAAATAATTACAATTCTAATTAAAGACTAAAATAAGTGCGACCCTCAATATAACATGTAATATTGTAATAGCAATAGATACCTTCTAGTCTATTTGAAGTCGGTGCTAAACTAAATAGGTACCTACTTGGTATGCTAGGTACAAGGTCGTGCGAAGGCTGCGAGGGTCTTCATGCTGTGCAATACATGCTAAACCAGTCAAAGTGAGTTACGCACGTCTCAAATGATACAGTTATTTTGAATTCTCTCTTTAGTAGTTGATAAGTTTGCGTAATTGGACTATTGCTACACATACTAGTTAGTATATATATTTATATATTAGTTCATCATCATCATCATCATCATCATCAGACGATTTGCGCAAGATATATTAATTGGGCTTTATTAATTAGAAAATATGCGATGTTTCGTTAGGGATATATTCAATTCTTAATTCTTATAGAACCGATGTAAAGCTGTCATAGGCCCTTAATTTTGCCTATCATGCATCGGACTTGGCACAGACTTTAAATAGACCAGAAGGTATCTATTGCTATTATAATGTTACCTGCTATATTAAGTCGCACTTATTTTTATCTTTTTTAGTTTTTAGTTCCCCCTTGTTAGTATGATTTGAAGTCGGCTCAACTTTTTTTTTAAAGGAATTTTCTACCATTTTTAGTGCAAGATACGTTTGTAATGAGTATAGTGAGTGTCTATACTCTCTCACTCTACATATAATATTGAAAACACTCCTAACTGTAATTAACTGTAGTATTTTAGATTGTCCGTGTGGTGACGGATTGAGAATACGGAGTGTCACCACCCCTATTCATCCCGTGGGTGTCGTAAGAGACGACTAGGGGAGCAAACGACGCAGGACAACAGCACTGCAAAGAGAAGAAAAACTTGAAACAAACCCTATACCAACCCGTCTGGTCAGCGTGGTTTAGTAGACCAAAACCCCCTTTCTAAGGAGAGGCTTGTGCGGACTGTTAAAGGTTGATGATGTTAGAATACTTATACTAAATTAAATAAAATAACTTCGTTACTTTATTTGATTCACGTAGTAAGATAGCAAGTTTGAACCCGAATAGGTAAGTGAAGGCTCCATGCACACTTGTATGTAGAAAGTTCGTCCATCACCTGAATTGCTCCTCAAATATTATTTACTGTTCTATAACAAACATATAAATATAGATGATCAACGTTGATTAATTTTCCAAGATGATGAAATTAATGTACCATGATAGGGGTATGAAATTGCCGTTGTATAGTTGGTACATTTTGATTGACATGAAACCTTCATGGTGTGAGATTTTAGTATGAAACTTTTTTCATATGATACCTATGAGGTTCTTCTTTTAAAAAATGTGCAACATTATTTATTTATTTTATTCTTTATGCACAAGTTGTACATTGGCAGACTTAATCCCATAGGCTTTTTGTCCCAGTCTACCTTAGGGTGGTGCTGAAATGTGTGGCTAGGAGCACTAGACATTAATAGGAGAAGTAAAAGAAAATGATTGATAAGTTAGGTAGAAGTAATGCGATAAATATACATACATTCATACGTACCAAATACATACACATACACAAATACTTATATAGCAACATACATACATAAGCCTAAAAATCAATAATATATAAAATTTCAAGGTTGTGATGAATCTGCTAGCGTGTCCAGGATGCGAGCTCTAGCTTTTATCTTGATTTGAAACATTAGATTTTCGACTTTCATTTTTTTTTTTTATTCAGCTTAGGCGTGAACGATGGATAATTTAAAAATCCAAGTCATTTTTTAATACGAGTGTCGACGCGGATCTAACGCGGCAGAAATGGTTCGCAATATCGACGCTGCGTTTGGAGAGGAGACTCCTAATGAACGCACCGTACGTTTGGTTTAAACGCTTTCGTAATAGAAACTTCCACTTGAAGAACGAACCACGTGGAAGACCGCCCACACAGGTAATTAACGCTGAATTGAAGGAGATGGTGGAAACCGTCAAAGTCGAGTCAAACTACCCAGGAATTAGCGGCATGGTTTAACGTTTACCTACCTACAATATTGACTCATTCGCATCAAATCAATGAAACAAAAATATGAAAAATGGGTGCCTCATGATGTAACTGATCTGCAGAAAGAAATGCGTGTTGAAACTTGTGTAGCCTTATTGTATCAGTACAGAAATGAAGACATATTGGATCGAATTGTGACATGTGACCAAAAGTGGATTGTTTACGATAGCCGTAACCGAAAAATGCAATGGCTGACCCCAGGTCAAACGCCGCAACAGTGTCCTAAAGCAAAGCTTGCCAATAAAAAGGTAATGGTAACTGTTTGGTGAGCTCTTCATGGTGTTATTCACTGCAGCTTTTTCAGGTCTAGCCTGACCAGTCCTGAGAAAGCGAAGTTTACTGTGCTATGATGGGGAAACTGGCAGTGAAACAGCCCCGACTCGTGAATCTACCTTCACCATTATTTCTCCATGATAACACAAGACCTCACACTGCACGAGAAATCGTTGTAACTCTACAGGAGCTGCAGTTAGAAACCATACGTCATCCTCCGTACTCACCAGAAATTCCTCGTGACCATTCCCTACGTGATAAAAATTTCTTCCCAGGAGGCAGTACAAAATACTTTCACAGTTTGTCGAATCTAGATATCCAAGAGTTCTATTGTAAAAGCATAAATGAGCTGCCGTTTAGATGGCAGCAATGTATGGATAAAACGAATCGACTAAAAGCATACAGTGAATCTTTCATGGCTTAAGTCTAATAACGACTACCTACTTAATTTCTAATTACTTTTAAAATTTCATCTTATGCCAAATAAGAGCTTCACTCAAGAGACTTAAGTGTCCATCATATCTGCAATGGCAGTTATAACCCATATTGGTGTAAAGTACTTTGTTGATGTTAATACGAATAAGATATTCCCGAACACGAAGTATCTGCTTGATGCCGTTGAGAAGTACCCTCGACTCTCTGTCGTCTCCACCATCAGATCAACTCTAAATCTCCATTATTTTGTAGCGTTGTCAGAGATACACGTGTATATCAAGTTTTTACATGATTCAAGCCTAGAATTTTCGAGAGTTGCCATCGATTTATGTGGGATTCCATCATCAGATCGTGATTTGATGACAAGGGCACCACACAGGGAGTATACCCTTTAATACAAAAAAAATGATTTTTCAAATTGATCCTTCAAGTAATAGCGTAACAAACAAAAAAACAGTTGAATTGAGCACCTCCTCTTTTTTTTAAGTCGTTTAAAAAAATGGTTGCCAACAGACGTAATTGAAACCAAACCTTCTCACATAAAATCACTACACACCACACACGCACACATTTACACTAGTGCAAGTCACACTTGCATATGCAATATCCATGTTTGATCATATAATTTTGATGCTAAGCTAAGACGTTACTCTGTTTTGTAATTAAACCACTTTCTTTGATGTGTTTTTTTTTAAATAACTATATGAATATGTAACAAGTTTCTAGGGTACAGCTAATACCCGGGTTACTGGTACCGGAGACAGTGTGTAGTACATAACCACTATTGTGGTATCTGAGGGGATTTCCACACAGAAAAAAGACAATATAAACAAAAGCAAAAATAAAGATTAGTTAAGAGACAGTACAGTGACAATAAGCTTTAGCAGTTAAGGTTTATGTGCTATTAATTTCCCTTTACCTGTTTCATTAAAACCAATCTCTAAATACAATAATATTTAAACGTAAATGACTACCAACCCCTGCCCTTGCAAAGGTAGCAGAGCCTATGCTTTATAGTGGTGATCCAGCATTACATTGAGCTAGTCTGCTAGTGTGTGATCATCTTAAAATGTAGATATCTTCTCTTATCTTTCCTATCTCTTGATCTTTATAGGAGGAATGCTAATTCCCAAAGAGAATGTACCTTTCATTTAACTATATAGGTTTAAATGGGCCTCACCATCGAAGCCCTCAGACGGGATAGTTTCTCTGACATCTTGAACAAGTTTTATCATATTTTAACATATTTATACCATACCTTAATGAATCACACACATAAACCTTCCTCTTTGATCACTCTATGCATTGGTGAAATAAAAATAAAATTATGTTCAATACTTTTGGTGTAAATCAAGTTTAGACTCATAGATGAAAACAAACAGATACGGCAGGGTACAAAATTTTTCAATAAATAGTAGTGATGATTGAAGAAGTTTTGGTTAATTCATTAAACACAGGTAAGTGTTGATGTAATCACCAGTACTGTTAATACTTACAAAGCCTAATCACTTAGCACTAATTACCTCAGCACCGCATCCGAACCAGGCTTGATGCTCTTGAGCTGAGATGTTCATATCATAATATGTTAGAGGAGCTCGCCGCGCGGCGCTCCAGAGGCGCCCGTACTCCGCTCCGCGCAGCAACGACATTGGGTTGCGACACACCTTACATTCCGCCCCACCTCCCGATGTCTCTGTTTCCCCACTTCCACCACCTCCACCGAGCCAAGGTCCCAAGTGTGTCAAAGACACCTGCTCGATGAAAGACGTTCCGTACTTACGGAAATACCACCACTCGAATATTAAAATGAGACCCGATATGAGCGATGAGGTACCCGTCAGGGCCACGTAAAACTTAGGTGTTAGCGCTCCTAGGAACGCTGAAGAATCCCACATCGCAACCGGTTATTGTTGCCGGTTGTACCGATCGTTTCACAATAGTTTACCTACTAAATTTACAAGTTTAGCTATATGAATAGTATTTACTTGTAGACTTTAAAAAAGCCCTCATCTCTTACGTACGATAGTAGACACTAAGTTTAATAATAAATAATAATGTAAGGGTGAAAATGTTTCTCCTATTAGTTTCACGTCTCGTATCAATTAATTCTGTATGTATGCTATTGCTAAACATTGAACTTGACAACAGGATAGATATACCATTTATGTAAAGACTAACAAAGACGGCAATATTTAATGCTTCGTTGTTTTTATAGTTGCAGAACTGAAACAGCTTAAATAACTAGATGGTTTTGACAGTTGCGGACATGACTATGCCTAAGAGCGTAAAATTAAACTTCTAAACGAGCTTATTTCATTCAATTAGACTGTCTGTTACGTTTAGTAAACATTAGCATAAAGTAGGTACACGTAGCATTATTTTCAATATAATGCATATTTTTTTAACTCTATCAAGCACTTGAGCTTTATTGTATGTAGCGATGTAATAAAATGTATTTAATGACTATTTGTGAACCATTTCACTTATTAGTAAATTGGTAAAAGAAGCCTTTCTTATGTTGTTAAAAGTATTTCTATAGTTATGAATAGATTTATTTGCAATAAAAAACTTCAACAAGTCGAAGTTACAATCGAGAATACTGAATAAATAAATTGAAAGTCACAAGTTTCCTCACCTTAATGTACCGCGTCGTTAATAATAATCTGTTATTTATTACTTGTATGTATATTAAGGAGGACACTAAACCAATTGGTAGTAGGGAACTATCAACTGTTCATACAAATTTACCTTATAACCTATCGGCATATACCCTAACCCTAAGCCCTATACCTGAAAACGCATTCTACTGCTAGGCAACTATGCCTAGCAGTAAAATGCGTACTAGCGTGGTTTTACCTGTGGTATTTTGTGACCCAGACCTCCCACAAGACCAATCCTATTATCAGCATAGGTGTCTTGACGTAGTAGAGACGGAGGTAGGCTAATGTGTCATAGTCGGATTCTATTTGTGACTGTTTATTTAAAATGAACAAATTAGTTATTTACTAATCATATATATATATACACACATCTGCAGTTCATATATGTACTATTGGTGTAATATGTCCTCTCATTTTGTCTACTATAGTTGATTTTGGCAATACGTGACATTTTTATGATTTCGTAATGACGTATTTAATTTTAACAATACATAATCATTACATCGTAAACGTTTTAATTTTATTTTAGTTTCATCGTGTGCTGTGTCCAGCTCTATAAGTTAAAAGTTAATCATGATAACAATCCTATCTAGTTTTTTTTTTAATTTTCAAGTTAAATTGCATTTGAAAATATAATTTCAAATTGCAATTGCGAAGGATATTTGCAATCCCTTCAATCGTTTTTAAAAATATACAATGCACATAGAAGGAGTGTACTGTTCTCATGGTTTATCTATGACTTTTTTTTGAAATATTTATTTTTAGCCCGTACTTTTAGAATAATGTACGCCTGAGCAAATAAAAAATAATAATAAAGAGACTAAGTTAAAGTCAAGAAATCATTTTATGGAAGAAATCGACATAACACAAATACCTGATTGTCTCTTGTGGTTGCGTTTTGTTACGTAAATCGATTTTTTTGACATTTGTCAATGTCAGAAAGCTAATTGTCTTCTTTGAGACTTCACGTTCTTACGATTTACGTAACAGGAATTATTTTGCACTTGGGCGAACTTGTGAATCTGAAAATGTTGGGCCGACTTGGTAAGAAGCACATGGACATCGCGGCTTCGTTCATGCCATCAGCTGCCGCTTTCGGTGGAGCGGCGTTCACAGGGCTCCTGTACTTCACGGACTGGAAAGTGTTCGTCGCTTACATCCCTTTCTACAATACCAAGTTTCCTGCTGAAGAGGAGAAGTAACAGTCACTATGGATATTAGTTAATTATACTTAATTGTATATGTATCGAAAATCTATATTATTATAAGTGTTAGTCGTATCGGTTGTGGTTTTTATTTTTGCTACAGGGCAGTCCTTTAAAATTGGTCAGCAGCTATAATCAGTTTATGCAATGCATTTTCCTTATGACAAGCATTACCTATTGTGTGGAGTGTCACAGAAAGGTATGCAACTAAATTATTATCTATAATAAGTAAGCCTTGCTTACTGTAACTACTTAAACTTAATATACGAACATTGAAACCAATAGAAATATATCAAAGTTGCTTACATATTTTTACAAGTGTAACAAAAATATATAACTAGCTTTTGCCTGTAACTTGATCCATGTGGTGGTGGAAATCAGACATTGTATAGAATACAATGAATCAAGATTATAGGTATATTCTCCATACAAAATTGCACCCTTTTTATTGTAGTTTTCTAAAATTAGTAACTATGTTTATTAAAAATTAGTAAAGAGTATTTACTGTGAGTTGGAAAATGCTACTACCAAGAATTTCATGCTTCTATACCCAGTGGTTTCAGCTGTGCGTTGATGGATTAGGCAGTGAATCAGTCTGTCAGTCTTTTACATAGATCTAATAATAAGATCCCTGTACTTATATGTGACTACTAAATAAAGAACATTGCATTCCTGTCATCCATTGCAATCCTGTATAAAAGAGAAGAGATTATAAGGTTTTGCAATTCACTCATCTTTCTTATTATAGATATTTATGCATTGCCTGTCTTATGTAAGTAAATGCAATCTAAATAGTGGCTTAAGGTACATAGAGAGACAGACAACTCTTTATTTGAACAGAGTTTTAAATCTAATATGATACATAAAAATGTCAGACATGCAATGAACAAAGGTCGACCTTGTTGCTAAGAGCAATCTCTTCCAGGGAACCTTAGGATGGATCAAAATGTTTTAGAGAGACAGTAATAGTTGAAGGTGCAATGAGTTTTGTCAGGTTAATTACTAATGATATCTATTTATTAGTAATTACACTGACAAAATGTGTTAAGATGTAAAATTAAATAAATTTTGACAGACAAACATATTTATGCATACCAACAAATATACAATATACATACATATTTATCGTCAAGGTCGTAGAATAGTCGGTTTTGAAAAAAATACGAAATTCAGTTTATATATATATTTGGATACTACATTCTCTAACTATTATTACTACATTCAAGAAAAAAATATATGTATTTTAGATTGTAAATTATTCAGTGTTTGTTTGATAGGCGCTCAAAATAAAATTGAGCATGTGATTTTTATAGAAAATTGTTTAATTATTAATTGTTATTTTTATTGCATTTTAAAACAAGCCCTATTTTTCACTTGTATGCCAATTTTCATAATAACAGATTTAGAATTTGAAAAGTTTTGTTAAAAAAACTAACAACTATTTGAAATGGCTGCCTTACAGGGCAATAAATGTCAGATCCGACACTATTCTACTACTATGACGATATACATAACTAATTATTTCACATAAAATAAAGAAAAAAGAAGGAACATTCTTTTCAGGCCTTAATAAGTAACTGCCTTAATCAAGGTGAGTGTAGCTAACATAATAATAATGTAATCCAGTGAATGACAAATCAATTTTGGTCTACTAAGCACAACAAATGATCAAATGAATAGTGTTTTTCAATATTTTAATTTTCCATTTTATGCCATTTCCATTTCCATTTTCCAACATATTAATAAAGGTCTAGTGGTTAGCGATCGTGACTACAGCAGCACAGGACAAAGATTGGATTCCCACCCAAAACAAATAACTGAGTGATTAGTACGATATATTTTTTAGAGTATAAGGGAGCAAACTATCAGACGGGTCACCTGATGGTAAGCAACTACCGCCGCCCATGGAGTTGGAGTTGCAGGTGGCAACTTAAAAGTCACAAGTGCGTTGCTGCCCTTGGAGTCCCTCCCGCTCGAGTCAGCTGGACTCCTCCCGGGATTTGAATTTCTTCTGCAATTTATCTATATTGTATAACATACATATTATGTATTTATAATAATAACCTTACACAACCCACACGCGGCAGACTGCTGATTAACATAAGATAAAAGGCAGAGACAGGTAATGCCTAATTTTTAATCTGACAGTCATGTGCATTGATCTATTATATTACACTAGATTAGTTATTACGGCCCAAAAGCGTTGCCACTGCACATCTGTCCACAGCCATGTACGCAGCAAACGCCAGTTCAGTGTTCAATGTAGCGCCGTTTGAGTTGATCATAACAACAACAATCGCACAAAAAGGGTAAGTGTGTGGTGATAGAATGCTATTCAAGGTCACAAAACTATAAGAAATCAAGCAGAATTAATTTTCACACGTAAATATTTTTATTTATGTATTGATATTTGCGTAAATAACGCTATAATCGAAATTAAAAATTGATCATTGTAATTTAAATACAGTGTTACTGCTAAAAATCGTTTAATTAGTTTTCCCACGTTAGAGGGAGAATATGTAATTTAAAAAAAAAACTTTGTACTCTGTTGTAAAATATTTTGGCCATAAAAATAAATTACAGTACGACTGGTAGCTGATAAGATTGGACCGACTTCCTTTTTTAGGGACCAGCGTTCACCTCCACCTAAGCTCGCAGCACTAGGAACTTTCATACAAAAGAATTAATTTAGTGTATTTTCTTATTTATTTGTCTAATAACAGTTTTACAGTATATCTAGCAGCACGCCGTGTCTGAGAGATGGGTGGCAATAACTCGAATGCAAAAAAAACACCCTGAAGATTATCTTATCATCATTACAAGTTGATCACTCCCTTTTATTAAGTACTGGCATTATTTATTTATACATATTTAAAAATTAGATGGTATCATGAAAGTAAATTATTCAATTAAACTTACAAAAAAGAGTCTAAAAGACAATAATTTGTATACATAACTGATGCTTCATAGAATATACAATAATAATTACTCTAAGAAAACCTGTTAATTAATTTATAAGGCATGCCTATTCCATTCAATAAAAAATATTACAAAAAAAAGTACAAAATTTGTTCGGTTATAAAAATGAAAATTAATTACAAAAATCGGTATTCGATTCATTGCTAATGTTATGATTTCAAACATTGAGTTAAAACAACTGCTACACATTGTTAGGGCTGCCATCCGTCCGGGTTTCCCCGGATTTGTCCTAGTTTGGAAGACGTCCGGGGAGCGTCCGGGCGGGGTTTAAACACAATACAATAAAAGTCCTGGTTCTCTTGTAAGTGCGTCATAACGCCAGGCCGTCATATTGAACCAGTTATGTAGGGCACATGTTGCTCTTTACTATTTTATATACTATCTGCCACTATTACTGTGCCTCGCAGTAGTAGACCGTCGTCATTGCACATCTTGCAAGTGGATGTAGTGCAATGAAACAACGAGATAGAATGATCGTACTATATGTAGGTTCTATACGATCGTTATATCGTAAATTAAGCTCGAACGATCGATCAACTCGGAACGTTTATACTACAATCCGAATGCACTTTTATACGAGCAGGCTCGTACGAGCGCACTCGGTCCGAGCCTAGTCGTAACGTGAAAAACGCGGCTTAATCGTACCAAAACGACATTGGATTCGTAAACTATAACGTGACTGTAAGTATACAGCTCATACAGTGCGGTACAAGGCTTATCCCAAAAAATGAAATAACAGATAACACGGTTCCATATACGTCGGTTAAAATACATAAAAAATAGTACGGATTACAGAAATGCAAAATTAGAACAAAATAAATGCAATATAATTATTTCCGAATTAAAACACCATTGTTAACATGAGTCGCTTAACTGTAGGCGAAAGCGTTGCAATGTCGGCGACATCAAAGTGACGCCGCCGCCGCGACGAGACGGCGAACTTCACATTCTTATTACCTACTAATCACTTCACTTGCTTTTTAAAATCAATTTATTAAAAATACGATTTTATTCAAGTGTTTATTTCGCAAATGCTCCACTAGCTTCGGACCCTTCAGTACGTGACACGTACTGAAGAGTCCGAAGCTAGTCGAGCTCCTTCAAAAAGTAGGTACTATAGTTGTGTCGTAATCTTTGTACCGCCCTTTCGAAAATTCGGCAGTCTGTAGGACATGCACGTTTGACTCCATATCTGTCCGTAAAGCTAAAGATGCGTTTTGATAGAGTTCCCCGTAAATTAACATCATGTCAGGATGTTCCGCGGCTGTGAAGGTCACTCACGGCATTATTAATGTTGATATCCATAACTCAATAAAATTAAAAGACTGACAATTCACTCAAACTCACACACACTACACTACACACACAACCTAATATTGACAATTTTCAAAATAAAATTAGCGGGACTCGTTACAAGACGAAGTCTTGAGCACACGATAACATTAATTGTTCACACCATTGCCGTGTATTATGACGAAAGCAATAAGAATAAACAATTATTAACACAACAAAACTTTTCTAAGCAAATATCTCACGAAAAACAACAATATTATTATTACGATAATTTATCGTGAGTGCATCTACAAGGACACAGAACAGCATACCACTCAGGGATTCGCGGTGGCCAAGGGCCGACTGACTGTACTTACTGGATGAATTAATGAAAAACGTGTGTCCTTCATCCTGATGAATAATCAACATATTTCTTTCGATTCGAGTGTAGTAAAAGCGGCAACGTGCGATGTTACCGCGCTGCGTATACAGCTGATCGCCGCCTGAGGTCAATGTATTACGACTGCATTTACACGTGATGTTGCAGATTAAAACAAAAATATTGACCTGTTTCTAAACCACTGAATATTTTTTGTTCATATTTTGCAAATCGTCTAGAAATAAAGTGCAGAATATGTGGTTCACAGATTCGTCAATAGAAAAAACACACGTTATATAAGCAAATAGGTTTGTTAGGGAATTACCGTCGCCACCCCTTTACACATCGCGCGTTCAGTAGTTCTTATTCAATTTATTTATTTAAACCATTATTTGGGAAACATTTTGAAACAATGATATAAACAACAATTCTTTGGATTTAATATATTTATTTAAGTACAGTGACTGAGGTTTAAAAAAGTGCAAATAATTGTCTAACTAATGTGATTTAGTAACTACCTGTACTTTTTTACAAATTTAAATAATACTTATACATCTAATTATAACACAATCATGAGAAAGATTGGAGCAGGTCTCGCGCGGCCCTGCACGCGGACACTACACTACGGTACTTTGTAGAACTGATCAGAAGAGGCCGCACTACGCGTTATGTGGTACTCCGAGGCGCGCGTTCACACGTCACACCGGCTCGGCTTCACGTCTTAATATATAATTATTCTAATAATATCAAACATTCATAAGCTTAGTTGTCATAGTATATACCTATATCTCGAGTAAATATTTAAGGGTTATACAATGTAATTCTAAACATCTTACCAAGGCTGTGTTCTTGTAACTTGAGTTGTACATAATCTAGTAAGGACGAGCGCTCACTAGTAGCCTCGCGCCGATCGGGCAAAGAGCGCGCCCACACGCTTTAGCTCGGTTCGTCCAGTTAACTTCCAGACGGCGAAGTTTGAGATCCAACGTAAATGCATAAACGTTTCGCAGTGTGGGAGGCACCAACGTACATTTGTCAATTATAGCACATACCCAACTGTTATAGATGCAAATACGTATTTTATTATATCTAATTATGCATAATTGTTGGTTTTTTTATGCATCTCACAAATCATTAAATTTTTCGATTGTATAAAGAAGAGTAAGTAAATTAAGAAAGGAAATACACTCAAATTAAACACCTCTCTTTAAAGTAGTTACAATTACGAGAAAAATTAAAAAAATTAAGTGGTGTTTGGAAATTAAACCGTTAATAGTTAGTAAGTTACTTGGGTTGTACGTAAAACTAGACACGTTATAATTGGTAAACTTCTTGATTTGTTGGGGACGGTTATATAGTAGTTGCCGTATCTACACGTTATTTGTTTAGGCCTAAGATAGTACTACACACCTACCTAATATTTAAGTTAGGCAAATAAAGACATTTCGGAACGACAAGGGAAGCGTTGACCACAGCATCATGGGTTTGCCTATATGTATACACTTACTTATTCTCTCACTATTTGTTTAAGCCTCACTGTTACGTAATTAAGCCGTTAGACACATCTACACCGTAGCTCTTACCTACTCAGTGAAGACACACTAGGTGGAAATCTAACTGTTAGCTGAGATGGAGTTTAATTACTGAGTAATCAGCTGCGAACTCGATTAATTTTGTGTCATACAACACTGTGAACTAAACAGGTTTGTAAATACGACAGATCCATTTACATGTCTTATGTCATAATATTAATGGAACTAAATAACTCCCGGGTTTGCAGCGTCGACCCTCGCACTAGTGGTCACGTTCTGGTCGCACTTCCAGTAGGCAAACGTAAAGGTATTCTAGAGATTAGGACGGGGACGAAACAATTACAGTTTAAAAGGATTGAGGCGCCGCTGCGAGTTAAGTATACGAGAACGCTAGAGTTGCGCGCTCCGACGACTTGCGCCTAGAAGTGCAGCTCAGCGTCACCGCTGCCGGCGCCGTCCTCGTCGTCGGCCGGCGCGCCCTCCGCCTCCACGTCCTCGGCCCCCTCCCCTCCCTCGGACACTTCGGCAGTTTCCGTTCGCCGCGATGCCTTGTCACCTGTGGAGTGTAGAGTGAACGATCCTTTATTAGCGATACCCGACAAGTACTACTAACTTTATAATCCATCCATGATATCGAACAAACGGCACGGAGTGCCTTCGAACACGTCGTAGTCTGTAACCGAGACACGTGTGTCTGTAAATACATATAAGTTTCATAATTAGGTAAATACTCGTATATTTATACCTATAAAATAGTTGAAAGATTTAAAATTGAACAGCACCTATATGCGCATTTAATGAAACGGTTAAAATCACCGCCTAGACTGCTCAACTCAGTGTCAGAGTTAAGCGGTTACGCTGTAGTCGTAACAGCTTAACTCTGACACTGACATCGTATACGTATACTTAGGTATCGTTACGTATTAACGACTTTATAGGGAAGAAGACGAGCGTGCTGCGGCATCGTAATCGGTGGGCGACCGTCGCTCTAGACGTAGGTACAGTATAAACGTCGTCCGGTAGATATAGTTTACAGCGCTAAGACGGTATCGAAGCGAAGATCTATCGCGAGCGACTCACCGGGACAGGCGGGCGCGCCCTTGGTGCGCGAGCCGGGCAGCTCGACGCCGTGCGCGTCCACGCACCAGCACACGCCGAGCGCGGCGTGGCACTGGCGCGGGCGGTAGAAGCCGCGCGCGTCGCAGGCGGGCGCGTAGGCGCCGGCGCGCGCGGCCGCGTGGTGCGCGCGCGCCAGCGCCGTGCAGGGCCGCGCCGCGCGCCGCAGGCACGCGCACCAGCCGCCGCGCGACACGTGGCCGCCGCCGCACGACGCCAGGAAGGGCCGCAGGCAGCGCTCGCGCTCGTCGTGCCGCAGCGCGTACAGGTTGGCCGCCGACAGGAACCCGTCGCCGTCCGTGTCCAGGTGCGCGAACATCCAGCGCACCTCCGGCTTGCAGTCGCTCGGAAACCCTGCGACCGTCGCACGGAATATGTAGCCTCGTAACGGTGACCGAACCGATTCGGAACCGTTCATTATTAACTTCGTGAAACGATAAAAATATATTTTAGTTATGGTAAATGAACCCGGTCGAATAATAAAATACAACGTAGACTGGACTATCTGATCCTCGGTTAAACGGTTCGCGATTATTCAAATTTTCTATCGTGATAAATTTTGTAGTGATAAACAAAAAGAAACCTGCGGGGGCACGGATTGTTACGCATTTCTTTTTGTTTTTAAAATTACTCTAAATTATTTTTGAGTATAATGTAGATACAATGTGCTAATCGACGACGACGGTAAGTTAAAGGCTGAATACAGATTTTTTGCACATTTACATATGGTTTTCAGGCCTCCCCCAAGGAGCGCCAACTATCCCGATCTTGGGCAGTCCGCATCCATCCACTGCCAGACATTTTCCTCAATTCTTCGCTCCATCGTGCCGCAGGGCGCGCTACGCTACGTTTGATTTACTTTTACATTTATGATGATGATTGATTATTGGAATTAGGGTATATATAATAAACCATATTCTACCTATCTAATACACTCCCAAGGAGGGCCGGCCATAATGAAAACCAGCCAAAAACCTTTGCAACGTAACACATTCCCCAAATAAAATTGGAAAAAAGGCAGGAGGATCATGTAGAGGGCAGGGGGCAGAATCAATGTCATTTATGGGGTCTACCAATAAGAACGTCCTGGTTTAAAAATTGAATAAAACACACAATTTTTATGAAAAATGCATCCGATTGATTTATTGATAGATTATCCGCTCACGCCAATTTTCGATGACGCGGTGCACCATTTCGGCCGGTATGTCGGCTATGGCTCGTCGAATGTTGGTTTTTAGGTCACGAATTGTAGCTGGATTATTGCTGTACACTTTAGATTTAACGTAACCCCAAAGAAAATAGTCTAAAGGTGTTAAATCACACGATCTTGGTGGCCAACTGATCGGTCCATTTCTCGAAATTAACGACTCACTAAACTTTCCACGCAATAATTCCATGTTCACTCGAGTAATGTGTCCGTGCACCGTCTTGTTGAAAATAAAGGTCGTCTGCATCAATATGATCAAATTCCGGCAAGAAATATTCGGTTAACATCGAGTTATAGCGCCATTCACAGTAACAAGGTTTCCTTCGTCACTTTCAAAGAAGTTTTGTACAATTTCCAAGCGTTGGTTTAAAGTGAACCGTGACATGATAAAATGGCAAACCTTACTGAACACAAATGTCAAGAGACGTCAAAGATCCATCATCAAACATGGCCACTATGAGCTGTCAAAACCAGGTCATTCCTATTGGTAGACCCGTTATGTTAGCAGTCCTGTCATGGTTATAGGACTACTGTTTTAGTTTCTTGTTTCTACAATTAGTCTGATTAATTGAGTCTCCACGGTACGGCTTAGTATCTATGTAAGTATGCGATATCAGTATTATTGACAAAACTTTCAATGGCTATGTTAGTGTAGTTACCGTCAACGGGCGGGGCCGTCGCTCCTGCCTCATCCATCAACACTGAAAACCAATCGAGCAAGCGATTCGCCATCTTGTCGAGGGCACAACCTTCAGAACCTGTGCAATAACAAAACAGTATTGCGTCGTACATATTAGATGACACTGACACTCCAAGAGTTCTAGCACAATATAGCGTGGCGGATCAATTCATCGACAGGGGCCCGAGCTGGTTTGTGAGCACTGTCGAAGTTTGCATAAAATTAAGGGCTTCCATTTACTGCGCATTTACTTCACGCTCTCCATTGATAAGAGAACCTGAGTGATATCGACTTGAACGTGACTTGAACTAACTGGAGTCACTTTGAAGTCTGAATCTTCGTGTTGTGTCAAGTTGAAATTTGAATTAATAATCCCACCAAAAACATTTTCATGTAAAATGTTTGTTGAGACGAGACTATATGGCTCGCACTGTCAAAAAGTTATCAGATCTCATGTGAACCAAGCTTCTAACTACAAGCCCTTCCTTCACAAACTCTAGATACACTTTAGTCAAAATATGTGACGGTTTTGTTGCTGTAATATATTGTAAAACAGAGAAGTAATGAAGTGTATAAGTTTTTCACCTCATGTTCATGTAACGGTAGCGAAACGGCGCGTGTGTTAAGTTAGGGGGTAATCTGTGGTTAGGGCCTATAGAGTTAGAGCATTTAGAGTTAGAAGCTTGGTTCACGTGAGATGATATAACTTTTTGACTGTACGAGCCATAATATGGTCTCGTCTTGGTAATATTTTACATGAAAATGTTTTTGGTGGAATTTAACTTTTTTGTAAGTTGCTTATGAATTTAATTAACTATTTTTGATATTTTTGATTCACAACAAGTGGCCAACGGCCTATGTACTACGTAGGGATCGATCAGTATTTGCAGCAGAGTACGTATAGTAACATAGCACTGACCCGGGGCGGGGCGGCGGCGGGGCAGCACCTCGTTGATGGCGCTGTCGGGGCGGCGGCGGCGCCAGGCCGGGCGGCGGTGCGCGCGGCGCGGGCAGGGACAGAAGCCGCGACACGCCAGACGCACCGGCCGCGCGCCGCGCCGCACGCAGTTGTGCAGGTCGAGGCGGCACAGCGACGAGTACGTGCGGTTGTCGGAGCCGCACAGGAACTGCGCGCGCGCCCGCGCCGGGCAGCCCACGCAGCCCTCGGCCTCCCGCGCACCTCCGTCGTAGAACACGTCGTCGTCCTCCGCGTCCGTCCGTTCCCACTCGCCCTCCGCACCGTCCCAGGCGCCGCCGACCGCACCCGCCGCCACTATGATGTCGCTGTCGATGGCGAAGAAGAAATGGTAACGGGCGTCGGTGAAATTTATCTATATTATCAAAGACATAAAAACTTAAATGTCTGATAAATATCGAACCGCTTCTTCTGCTTCGGTTCTGAAACGGGACTGAGGAAAAAAAGCGTCCAAAAAGCAGATAAATTCTCACCCCTTTCGGAGGATGTCCTTCTTGGTGGCGCAGAGCGCAGTGAAGGCGTCTCGCAACACGCACACCTCGCGTTTTTTGCACACGAGCGAACGACATAGCGCGTCTGTAACGTTACACACGTTCTCCATTAATTTTATTTCACCAGATTAGAGATCGATCGATAAGTACCTAATGTTAATAGCGGTTATTATTAAAACGCGCAATGTTTCCACATCGCAATGGCGTACTCACTATGTGGATCGTACACATATCGCCGCGGACGTCGCGCGTGGCCCGCGCCGCCGACGCCGCCACCGCCATCCGCTGTCGCTGCAGTGGCTGTTGCATCCTGTAACAGTTCAAGTCAGATCGTTTAAGTGTTATTGACAACTAGGTATGCTTTACGAGTAACAGTATTATTATTAGTAGTAACAGTTTAAGTTACATCAAGGAGTTCATGGGCTTATTACTCCATTAAAGTAAGTAATCAATTTGGAACTAGTCGTGAGTCCCGACTACACAAAAATGACAGCCCCCCGTGAGTCAATAAGCTGTATCCGCTCACGAGCTACATTACACGAGTCATACTTTTGTCTCTAAGAAATCTAATCTAATACCGTTACATAAAGCTGATGGTCGCGGGTTTCGTAATTAAATACTTAGAAGTTTAAATGGAATTAGATCTTAGTAGCTACAATATTTATATGTGCAATTTATCAGTTGGTTATTAGTTTGCCGTGTCGTTTGATCGCCATTAAGTTCCGAGTTTTACATCTAATAATTATGTGTTTTCAAAACAATTGCTTATTTAATTCGTTCATATCAGTACCACTATTGTCGTAGTTATAGACCCGAGCCTGTTAAATCATTTAAATATGACAGTATCTTCTGAATTATACGTTCAACAAACATGCTGTGCCTGTGAAGCTCGAAGTTTATCTTCATAGAATTGTCTTACTTGAACCGACTGTTCCCGTAGCTAACTGAAACGGCTGGAAATGATTTTACAACGATTGATTGAATATTTAGGGCGCGAAACCATTTATGTATACATTAACTTTCTTGGTAAGAAAATGTATTGTTACTAACCAAATAAGTCAAACGTTACTCGAATAAACGATTTATTTATGATAACTTATTAAAGTTACTAGTAGGATTGCATCAAATACTAATACAATAAAGAAGATCACATGATGGGCCGACGATATGAATAAAGTGGCTGGCACCGGGTGGATACTGACTGCCCAATACCATGATAGTTTTACAATCACAGCTTCGTTTCCAAGAGTTGTAACGCGATGTTTTATGGACTTAGTCCGTTGAATACACAATAATTTTGCAATTCTGACGGACAGTTCCACCCATTATCCCGTTTCAACAAACAATCAAATAGGTAGGTATAGGTTAGTGAGCTCTACTGCACTGAACCCCGGGTACCTACTCAGAGCGGGCTGAGCGCTCAATACTGGGCTGCAGTCACTTCTCTTGAGGAGAGATCGGCTGGTGGGCGAGTTTCTACCACTCACTATTAGGTTTTGATTTGATTGACAGTATAACTTGAACTGTCATTGTATAGTCTTACTGTACATAGCAGTTCCAAGTAATTATGTACTGGATGTTACTTTTTTCAGGCAACTTACTAACTATAACAGTTATTTTTTATTAGGAGTAGTTTAGAACTTTCACTGACGAACATTTAAGTGTAAATTTCAAGTTCATCTGTTCGGCTTTTTTTAAATTGACTGAATGAATTTTTTACGCGTATTAATATAATTAATTACAGCACCGTGATTTTTGTTTGAAGGGATGTATAATAAAATAACCTCTAATATATTATACTTGGATACACATTAAAGCACATGGTGGTAAGTAATGTGTATAAAATTATATAACATTACTTGTTTATTTCCATCATTGTGTACTTCTAACTATCAGGAGCGGTGATTAGTACCTGTGCAGTCTCTGGGATCTGCCGTTGGCTCTCGTTACCTCACCCGGGATAGCGGTGAAGATATCAAAATGGAACCGACTACAACCACACGTACCTACTTCAGCATTAACTAGGCTAGAGACGAATGTATATATCGAAAAGGAAGCCTAGCTACACTTATTACATATACACTTCTACAGCTTGTGATGATATTTGATGTAGCAATGAAACTAAATCAATAACAGTGTGTACATTCTCAGTAGGTTACACACAAGGTCCGGATGGTCATTCGTCATGGTCCAGCACCGAGCCTCACAACAGTAATAGGGAACACATTAGTTAGAGTCAGCGTGAACAAAATCAATAACTATACAGTGTTAGCAATATTAATAATCCGCTCTCGTCGTATATGCAAAAGCAGGGCCCTTGAGTTCTACGCAAGAGACTTCATCCATCTAAAGAACCTGCGCAGCGCTCCGTAATGGAAACGTTCAACGATTTATTCAGACCTCATCAGATTCTTTCTCCACATAGCTACGGTAACAAACGTCACTTGATATCAAACAAAACCTTTTCAGACTTTTATTCTGAGAATTATCTCAATGTGTTAAAGCAGCATTTAGGTATTGCGGTCGGAGCACGGAGACCCGACGAGGGCGGGAGGTGGGGGCTCGAGGTGCCTGTTCCTTATAATTTAAATAAATCATTTATGAAGTCCGAGAGCCGCCTGCCTGCTCTCACCGCGCGAAACGTGATGCCGTCAAGAAGGGGCTCACCGAGTCGTCGTCAAACTCGAAGTCCTGATCGGTGCGCGCCGCCGCCAGCGCCAACAGCGCGGCCATGACCACCACCCACAACAACGAGTGCATCGCGTCGCTACACTCGCGCCACTGCCGCCAAACCGCCCCGCACTCCCGCACTCCCACCACCCTACAACCTTTGCTCGCCCTTCCGAGATCACGCCGCCCATCTCACGTGATTATGCCTATAACCACTTGTCCTCTTATAGGCTGATCAAGTAAACTGAACATTTATTTTGTATAAGTGTCGCATTATCGGAAGCATTCGCAGTGTGAAGATGATTTGACTAGGCTGATTTTTTCGAATAATTTTCTTAAAAGCTTAAGAGTTTTCAATAAATCATGTGTAACATATAACAACACATATAACAAATAACGCAACTACTTCATTTACATCCACACATACATCACACTAGACATAAATAACAGAATATAAAAACTGTTTATTATTATATATTTTAACACAAATCTGCAAAACTCTTATTATTCCTTCGCAAATTTTTCCTCTATGATTGTTATTCTACCTAAGTGTTGCAACAATTTATTTTTAAACCCCTGAAATGAAATCTCTTCTTTATCTCTGAGTGGAAGTTCTGGCGTATTCAGTAAAAGCTACCCGTCCAAAAGACGGCTAAAGTAGTTATCCTCTCCACTGGTCGCCTGAAGCCTGGTGGCAGAGCAAAAGTAATAAATAACCTAACTACTGATGTTTTAGATTTCAAATAAGGAAGTTTTGACGTCTTCTAATTAGATAATAGACAGGATAGATTTTTATAGCTATTTAACCGATTGCATATCAACAGAGTTTGATATCGGGATTTTAAGTAGATTAAAAACATATTCGATTCAGGCCTAACTTAGTAAGGCAGGACTGACCAAATATAATATCACACTAAAACCTTTGTCATTTTCACGTATACAGAACATAAATTATATTCTTTTGAAAGTGTTCTCCGGTTGTCTGCTGCATTGCACGCAATTAAAGTGGCTTGAGCGGTGTCCAGTCTGCAGCATGTTGAACGTTTGTATGTCGACATCCGGCGCGGCCCTCCCCGCGGCTAGACGTGCGCGCCGCGCAAGCCTTCAGAGCGCTGCTCAAGAGCAAATCTCTACTCTAAAGCCGACTTTAGATCCCATACACAGCCGCACGCAAGTACTGATACGCTAGTGACACGTGAAAAGAACCCACGAACCTATTTACGGGGTCACACCAACTTACTTAACATTAGACATTTTATATCTCTGAGAATGATTTCGCACTTAAGTATATATGTAGCAGTCGAGTACCGGAGCCGCACTTAGCCTTGCTGGCCGTATACCTTACTCACAAATTAATTATACATATAGGTAGCAACGTAGGGCACGACATTTTGTTATTTGCTAATTGAGGCTTGCAGTCGGTATGTTGTACCGCGTATGGCTATTTCTGTATGTATTGTAGTGTATGGCTATTACACAGCATGGCACAGGCACAGGCATATCATAGATTTTGTATAAGTTTAATTTTTATTAAATTTATTTGCTTACTATTTGACAAAACAGAGATTGTTGCTATTGTGTGTGTTGATCTATGACTTTAGAATCTACATAAAAGACGATTTCAAACAATTTTATTTTTTTTATGAAATAAAGAGAGTTTGAGTTTTCTCATATACCCGTAGTTTATTTATTTTTTATTTTTATTTTTATAAAACAGGTACAGAAACAGACAACAGATTATGTAACACAAATAATAGCATTTTAACATACATGTTATAAACCTGATATCCTATAATATCTGTACACATCATTTAAAAGTTAACAGCTTCCTAGAGATGAAGACACATACATAAACAAATGGAGATTAGAAGAAGTGAATACAATGATAACAAAGGTGACTAAACGCTAAGCTAATTTATCATTTATGGCTTTTTTAAAGTTAATTAATTTATCATTAAAAATATCTAATCCTGAACAAATATGGTTATACTGCCTAGTTAGCGCATTGCAAATATGGCATCTGTTGTATCGCGTCTCGACAAACTAAAATTGACTTTGGGTTATCTCACTCTCATCTCTTATTTTTCTCTCAATCACTTTCTCCCAGACTTTCATAGTTTGTGGTATGATCTTTATTCCTCGATAATTGTTGCATTCCTGAACATACCCTTTATTTAAAATAAAACGGCGCGTATTATGTATATCTTATATAATTATATATGGGGCGTTCTACTTTTCTACCGACAATCTGAGTGATAAATTTTTTGATTAAAAAAAAAAAAGTGTATTTCTTTCATAAAATGTATTTTTAAATCATTGTCCAGTTATCGAAGATTTCAGAAATGTATAATGCATCGAAGTTTTATTTTATATCTTTTATTTATTTTAAGTTTTATCGGAATAGTAAGAAAAAATAAACACCTTAGTCACAAAAAAAAAAATATTTATTAGTTATTTTGTAAAATCAAATTTTCAGTTTTTCTTTCACTTTGCTTAACTGGAATACAAGCATTTATTATTATGTAACTCGATTTATAAGAATTTTTATTACAAATATATAAAAAATAACATTTAATACCACTCTGTCACAATTTTGCTCGTTAAGATAACAAAGTTTGAAATATTTTGCAAATAATTGAAATAAACATAGTCGAAATTCTGTTAATACCTTATATGGTCAATATGTAATAATATAATACGTTTTTTTAGTATAGTTTTCAATAAATAGAATCATATGCTACATTGACGTTTAGTTACAAGAGGGACAAAATTGTGACAGAGTGGTAGATATTAATAAGCCAACATTTGAACTTAATTTTTTAACATTTTTGATGTTTTTTTAAACGATAACAAAACATAATGCTTCTCTTATAATGCTACATAATATATTATATCTTGGTAGAACCATTCTTTGGTACACGTAAAATCAGACTAATTTTCTCTTTTCTCTTATTCTACTTTTCAAATACTTCTATTGGTTTATCAAATTCGTAATAAACACGCTTTCCTCTTTTGACTTCTTTAGGACTTGGAATTTATCTAATTAATATATTTATTTATCAACAGTTTTATAAAACATTACCTGCACATCTCCTTTCTCATCCACACAACTTTTTGCTACTCCTAAGTAGGTGTACTCGACTTTGTTTTTACTGGGTACTTTTACTAACATATGTGTACCATTTTTTATTAATAATGGGTGAATGTTGTCAACAGACAGATCGTATGAAGTACCCAGTTTTATGTGCACATTTTTTTTCTGATTAACAAGAGGCTGATCATCTTCATCTTCTGAAGTAGAAGTATAAACAGTCTCATAAAATCTCTTTGTAGGAGCTCTAATTATGTTGGTTATATCAGCCAGTGGTTCTTTTAAATCTGAGGTTGGGCTATCGTTAACTTCCATCTCATGTTCAGTAATTTGTAATGTTCCTTAATGGCATTTGTCAAGATACTATTTTTTTTTTCTTCTTCGGCGCCTTTAATTTTATCTTCATTTTTTTTTATAGTTTTGGTCATATTATGTAATAAGTTATCTTTTTTATTCTTTCGACGTTGAAGTCTTTTCTTGTATTTTCGTATTTTTTTCTGTAATTCTTTTACACTGTCTTGGAGTTTCATATTTTGCCCATAAATTTTCGATCTGTCTCGTCTAACTTTTTTTCTACCCCTTGCTCTAGCAGTGGATGAGATTGAAGTTAGTGAACGAGATCTAGGACTTAAAGTAAGTAACCTGGGGCTTGAAGGAACAGTTGTGGAAGCCGGAGCATTCATTAGAACGTTCTGCAAAGCTTTCTGTTGTTCTCTTCTCTTCTTGTTTCTAACTTGCCATTTTCTTTTCATTTGTCTGTGATCTCTTGGTGTCATATCTTTGACTAGCTTTTTGCGAGTATGATATCTTTCTAAGTCTTTTCGTTTCACTTCTGCAACTTTTTCGGGGTCTTGTTTCCTTTTTTCACGACAACGTCGATGCCTTTCCGCCGCAGATAACGCAATTTTTAATTACCCCGATGATAATACCTTAAATTAATAAAATAATCGATAATGTAATATATAGAACACAAAAAATATTAATTAACTATTGTAAAAATCAATCAATGCAAAGTTCAAGACAAAAATTACCACTTCGTCACGAGTTATGCCACTCCGTCACAGTTTATTTGTGACAGAGGTGCCTCGTGACAGAAGTGTAAAATAATAGTGTTCGAGGATTTTAGCGTTCACAAAATTACAAATTGTTCGTAAAAGTGGGTGAATATGACAGATTTGCTGGGAAATAATAATATTACATATATAAATATTAATTACAATAAAATTTCAAAGTAGTAACTTACGTGACAGAGCGGTCGTCGAATAAACACACGCATCTCTGTTCACTTCCTGCAGGCGACTAACTCGGCTCGCTCCCGGGTGAGGCCCCAAGGCGTGAGGCCAAGGGGGAAGAGGAAACCGTACTGTTGCTTAGTGTTGAAGGTGAAACAGCTAAGAAGCGTTTATTGTTTTGCGAAATGCGTGACGGAAGATAGCAAGAAAAAACATACATAGCCGGACCCAACGATAAAATATTTTTTTGTTTAATAATATGAACCTTTACGTTTATTATATTCTAATCAATGTAATGATAATATTTCAGAAGTTCAATAAATAATTTTATATTAAAGGATTCCATATGATTTTTTTAAGCGAGATCATTTTGTAACATTAGGCGGCGCAAAGAGACAAGTTTTATTTGTATGTAAAACACCTCTGTCACACATTTCGAATACTATGTCACAATGATTTTGTAAAAAGCAAAAAAAATAAAAACGGAATTTTAGTATTATTATAATCTCTGTATGGTCCAAAAAAATCTTGTCGAAATAAAATTTGAGAAACTGCAATTTTGGACAAAAACCGATTTTTTTTCAAGAAGAGACACGTCATTGTCGGTAGAAAAGTAGAACGCCCCATATACTCTATTATATTTTTATTAAGATTTTTACTGAGAATAGATACTTATCTATCAAAAACTTTATCTAGTGCCTAACTATTAAGTTATAGTTAGGTACTAGATAAAGTTTTTGATTTAATTAGTTAAAAATAAAATAAAT